GAAGGTGGTGGACACCGCTGGCCTTGTTCACTGAGTTCTCCACACTGTTCATCTGGGGGGGCTCTGGGTCTCCCATCTCTGCACCTTGCTTAGCTGACTCCCACCCAGAGGCAGAAGGGTCTTCCTTCTCAGCAATTGCGCACTGAGGAGGTCCCGCAAGCTGGGCCACAGTGATTTGCAATACGCTATCTGGCCATTAGGAAACATGGGCTGGAATCAAATTGGAGAATTAGTCTGCTCCACTCCCAACCCTCAGTGCCTTCAAAGATGAAGGAAAGTGTGTGTGTGTGTGGGGGGGGGGGTCTGAAGAGATGTCTCTGTCAGGAAAGAGCCTGCAAGAAAGAGGACCTGAGGTCTGAATCCCTAGCATCCATGTAAAACGTTGGGTGTGGCAGTGTGTGCCTGTATCCCATGCTGGGTGGGGGGTGCCTGGGGTTTGCTGGCTACCAGCCTTACCAAACTGATGAGCTCCAGGTTCAGTGGGGTGATCTGCCTTCAAACTGTAAGGTGGGGAGTGACAGAAGAAGATACCAGACATCTACCTAGCAGCCTCTGGACTCCACACATGCGCACATGCACACACGTATACAGGAACATATACACACTCATGCACATGCACACAGAAACATACACACACACACACACACACACACACACACACACACACACACACACGCACACACACAGGAACATATACACACACATGCACACAGAAACATACACACACACGTGCACACACAGGCACACAGAGAAGAGGGAGAGATTGCCAGACTGAAGGAGACAAGAGAGACATGAGAACTAACTGCATGCTGGTCAGGATAAACATTCAAGGGACAACTAGTGAAATTTGACTTGGGATTAATGTGTTAACTTCTGCTGGGGAGGCTTGAACGTTACTCACCGTAGACAGGGAACCAATGACCAACAGAAAGAAACAACTCCATCCAAAGTTAGACTGGTAAACAGTGAGTTTATTGGGCTTTGTTTGTTTGTTTGTTTGAGGCAGGGTTTCTCTGTGTAACTGCTCTGCCTTTCCTAGAACTCACTCTGTAGACCAGGCTGGCCTCGAGCTCACAGAGATCCGCCTGGCTCTGCCTCCTGAGTGCTGGGACTACAGGCATGAACCACCACTGCCTGGCTTATTGGGCTTCTACAGAAGTCTGGGAGAGGGGTGACTTACAGGAGTGGGGGTCACCCCCCAAAAGCCACATCAGTGAAAAAGCTCACCCCAGCCTTGGTGGGAACCTCCCACAGCTATCTGTATGGTGCCCCCCTCCTTAGTAAACCTACTTCCTGTGTGCTCTAGCCCCTCACAAGTCCACATGCCCCTGGAGCAGAATCCCATGCCACTGGGTGGAGCACAGGAGTGGGCGGCTGGAATCTTGGATGAGGGTTCAAGGACCCTCTCTAGCCCCTTCCTTCTCTGAAGGAACCTCAACAGGCCTGATGGTGAGGGTCTCTTGAATTAAGATGTTAATGGCTGCTTTGCTCTAAGGACAGCAGTCCACAGATCTATTGACAAAAGGTTCAATGTCAGTGTTAAATATCCTGGATCAGGAGCCCGTGAGAGGTTAGAAAGTACCCTTGTCCTCTTGGTGTGCAGAGAGACACACTGAAGCCATCGAGGATCTGCTGTCTGCCACTTAGTCAGTCAGCACAGTGATGCACATGTGCGTGACTGAAGTGCTAAGTGTGGAAGAAATGCTTAGTTAGAGGATTTGAACGGAGAACATGTGGGGGCCAGAAAGATAGTTCAATGAGTAAAGGTGCTTGCTTGCCAAGCCGCAGGACCCAAGTTTAATCCCTGGAACTCACATGGCAAATGAGAGAACTGAGCCAGGGATGGTGGTGCACACCTTTCATCCCAGCACTCGGGAGGCAGAGGCAGGCGGATCTCTGAGTTCGAGGCCAGCCTGGTCTACAGAGTGAGTTCCAGGACAGGGAGGCTGTTACACAGAGAAACCCTGTCTCAAAAAACCACGGGGAAAAAAAGAGAGTAGTGACTCCTATAAGCTATCCTCTGATCGCTACCAAGGCATGTGCATGCCACATGCAAGCGTACACAGAAAATAAAATGAAAAAAAAAAAAGACTATATGCTAGTTCATTATCTTCTAAGTTTCAGTAAGCTTGAGAGTCTGGAAAAAAACATATATATGCACATAGAGAGTATATATATTATATATCACACACTCTATATACACACAGAGTATAGTGTATATATACTACATATACACATAACACATATAATTAGATATTGTATACACATGTATACATAGATTATGTATTACACACTCTCTATATAGAGTATATATTATATATACACTATATACACATATAAAGTATATAATATACACACTATACACAGAGTATATATAATATACATACTACATACACACACATAGTATATATAATGTATATTATATATACACAGAGAGTATGTATATTATATACACCACATACACATATATATTATGTGAGAGAGAGACTGATTTTCCAGTACTGGCAACTGAACTCAAGTCTTGTATATGCTCAGCAAGCTCTCTACCACTGAGCTTCCGTCTTCACCACCTTTTTGTTTTCTGTGGCAGATCTCTGAGTTCAAGGCCAGCCTGGTCTACAGAGTGAGTTCCAGGGGCTGAAATCCCAAGTCTTTGTTTGTTTGTTTGGTTGTTTGGTTGGTTGGTTGGTTTTTATTTTTTGGGTTTTTTGTTTGTTTGTTTTTGTTGTTGTTGTTGTTTTTTAGACAGCGTTTCTCTGTGTAGCCCTGGCTGTCCTGGATCTCACTCTGTAGACCAGGCTGGCCTCGAACTCACAGAGATCTGCCTACCTCTGCCTCCCAAGGGCTGGGATTAAAGGTGTGTCACCACTGCCTGGCAAAATGCCAAGTCTCGAACAAGCAAGGAACATGTTCTATCAGGTCCTGGACACTCTGATGGTCCCGCCTTCCCCCTCATCTGTCACCCTCCTTTTGTACTTTCTGGAGAAGTCCTGAGCCTGGAAGGAGAGGGGAGAGGGAAGCCGAGGAAGCCATAAAGAGAAAGGTCAGAGGGAGGTGGCAGGGAGCTGGAGCTGACCCGGCTCTCTTTTGGCAGGCTCAGATAGTGGACAAACATGGTCACACCTCAGTCAGAAACTTAATTGACCATTTAGAACCAAACTCTAGATCAACAGGAGGTGTAAATGGGATGGAGAGGAGCCCTTCCTGGGGTATACCATGAGGCTTAGGGGAGGATGTGGCCATTCACTCAGCACTCACTTCCTCCAGGGGTCCTGGGGACCCAGGCAGGGGCATGGAGTTCAGAAAGGAACACTGAGAAATGTCCTTGAAGAGACTTCACACTCCATCTGAAGCCTGACACAAGGCAGGGACTCTGCTAGCCAACTGCTCAGTCCCCTAAGGTCCCCAAAGCGGCAGCCCTCGGAGGAGGCTGCTTCCACACATGCCTGCCCAACAAGGGGAGAAACTGATACTGAGTGCATGCAGCCAGCCTGTTGTATCAGAGCTAGCACAATCTTTCAGTTCAACACAAGAAAAACAAATAGTGGAAAACAGACACCTTAGTCTGGGTTCAAAAACAAGGCCCATCTGTCCTGGCAGGTTCACAGTAGTTCCTACTCTGAGGCTGGGGCCTGACCGGAATGACCCCAGGAGGCCCTTCACTGCCTTAGGATTCCATGATTCTATGACATGGCCAGCAGTCTGAAGTGGCAGATTGCGGGTGTCCCCAGTGGAGAGCCAGGGAGGTCTATGTCATCTACCTCCTAAGAGCCAGGGTAAGAGAGGAACCGGCCCTATGGCAGACAGATGGGGTCCCAGAGATCAAGAAGGGGAAGGGGCTTGAGATGGGGCATCCCTCAGTCCCCTCCTGTTTTTCTAGAATAGGGGATGAGGTGGGGTTGGGTCAGGCAGGAGAAGAGGCCAGGGCTTGGACATTCCACCCATTTTAGACCCAAAAGACAAGGGCAGCTGAGGGGCCAGGGCCAGGGAGAGAGATTTGCAGCTGTTTTGGGGGTGGGGCAGGCTCAAATACTGCTCTGTTGGCACTGAACAAATATCAGAAGTCAGGCGGAGCTGGCAGTAGTGGGGAGACTCCTGGCAGGGGTGGAGAGCTGGCCAGTGTTGGAGACCCAAGGGAGCAAATAGATACCCCAGGGACTTCACTACCCGGGGACAGGACAGAGCTTAATGCAGTCGGCATGTCTTTGGCCTGGACAGGTGTTAGTCTCTATAAAATGTCTACTTCAGGACCAGAAAGAGTGGGAACTTCACTGCTCTCCGTTCAAGTGGGGCAAATGAAGAAATCCCAATACTGTCAGAGAAATTTAGAAGCAAGCAACTTGGCAGGATTTTTTGTGATTCATGTAGCCCAGGATGGCTTTGAACTCACTACGTGGCTAAGGCTGCCCTTGAACTCTGTATCCTCTGTGCTGGGAGTAGGGGCATCTGTCAATTGAGAATAGAATGATACTTCCCTCCTTATGCTGCGGCATGTCAGACGGAGGGGTAGCAAAGGACAGAGAGTACAGAGTTCGAGTCTACAGCACAGCGTCTGGGGTGGGGGCAATGAAGTATGCTGGTTAGCGCTGTGGGCTAGCTTTTGGGTGTCATCTAAGGCCTGTCTCTATTTCATTCAACATTAGAGACTCTATCTTTGGCTTTTGCGGTATACTGGGGTCCTGGCTCTGGAATTTGAGAAATGTGGGGCTCAAAGAAGAGGCTGCCCCACATTCCCTAGCAGGGCAGCCTCTCCATACCTCCTCCTGATGCCATCATCGGGTCCTGGACACTCTGATGGTCCCGCCTTCCCCCTCATCTGTCACCCTCCTTTTGTACTTTCTGGAGAAGTCCTGAGCCTGGAAGGAGAGGGGAGAGGGAAGCCGAGGAAGCCATAAAGAGAAAGGTCAGAGGGAGGTGGCAGGGAGCTGGAGCTGACCCGACTCTCTCTTTGGCAGGTCCAGGTAACCAACTGTCACACTCCGAAACTCGACCCAGCCAAGATGTCTGGACGCCAGGTGAGTCGATCCAACACTTACAGCCGCGTGAGCCATCCCAACAACACTTCCATTCCTCCCAGAACTCCAGGCTGGACCCAGTGCTCCAATACGAACAACGGCAAGGACCTGGGGACCCGTTTCCCAAGCGGCTCTGAGTTCAGCAACGCCAGCAGCTACTCCTCTGAGCAACCCTTCAACCCAGTCCCCGCAAATCTCCCTGTGGGGAGAATCTGCATGGGCCGGCCCTACGACTCCAGGTTTGTAGAGACAAGTCACCTGGTGAAAGACCCCAAGGTGGTCAAAAAGCCCACTTATCAACGTAGCAACCCTCAATGCCTGCTCTGCACAGACCGTCCATCACGCCCCCCCAGCCCTACCTTCCTGGACCAGCTCATCAAAGGCATCAACTACCTGGACAGATCCACCAATGTTTTCAGCAACAACTACCCCAAAGCTCTGAGCTTGCCTCAGTTGGCTGCCACCTACCTGGAACGAGCTGCCAACTCACTCTACCTGGACCCGATGGACCATGTCCCATCCCGCAGCTATTCGAGTCCTAACACTAACACGGTCACCACCTCCAATCAGTCTCCAACCAACACCTGCTTGGTCCCTTCCATTCGGGACACCAACACTCTGCAGCGCACTAGTGGCTCCACTAGCTTGAGCTGCCAACACCAGCCTTACAACCAGAGCTTCTCTGCCGAGGCGCCTCAGAGGCCAGGCATAAAACTGCCTGAGATCCCTCTGTTTGGCAATGGGCTCTTTTCCTTAGGTCGTCTGCCCAAGTTCTGGGAAGCAATCCGCTCTGGATTGAATGCCCCTGAATCCACCTCTAAGCCCTCGGGCTGGTGGTGACACAGATGCCAGTTTTGTCAGTGGGCACATGGCCACGGTGTAGAAAATAAATTGTCATATGACAAACCAGGGGGTCTGTTTTTCTTCCCCCCAAGTGGAGTCTCAACTCTGTTGCTCAGGCTGGAACTTCCTGACACAAGCAATCCTCCCCGCTCCCTTTTTAAAATCTGAGATAAGATTGTGCTAGTCGGGGTTCCTATCACTGTGATGAAACACCATGACCAAAAGCAACTTGGGGAGAAAAGGGTTTATTTGACTTACATTTCCACATCACTGTTCCTCACTGAAGGAAGTCAGGACAGGAACTCAAACAGGGCAGGAACCTGAAGGCCGGAGCTGATTGCAGAGGCCATGGAGGGGTGCTGTTTACTGGCTTGCTCCTTATGGCTTGCTCAGCCTGCTTTCTTATTGAACCCAGGACCACCAGCCCGAGGTGTTCCCACCCAATCAGTTACTAAGAAAATGACCTTATAGACTTGTCTATAGCCCAATCAATCCTATGGAGGAATTTTCTCAGTTGAGGTTCCCTCCTCTCAGATAACTATTGGTTGTGCAAAGTTGACCTAAAACTAGCCAGCACAAGGCTCTTATATAGCTCAGGCTGTCCTCAAATTCTATGTAGCCAAGGATGACCTAGAAGTCCTGATCCCCCTGCCTCTACCTCCAGTGTGCTGAGATTACAGCTATGAACTGCCATACTCAGTTCATGTAATGCTTGGGATCAAACTCAAGGCCTATTGCATGCTACCAACGGAGCTAGATTCCTAGTCCCAAAAGGCCATTTTTCTAGCTCAGATTCTCTGTTGGCTAGGAGGCAAGAACAAGCATGTGTTTGAAATCTGATTTTGTTGTTGTTGTTTTGTTTAGTTTTTTGAGACCAGGTTCTCTGTGAAACAGTCCTGGCCTGACTTTTTTAAAAAAATTACATCTAGTGTGTGTGTGTGTGTGTGTGTGTGTGTGTGTGTGTGTGTGTGTGCATTTGCACTGGTTCCACTGTGTAAGAGTGGAAACCAGAGGACAACTTGCAGAAGTCAGTTCTCAGCGTGTGGGTCTAGTTAGGATTGAACTCAGGTCCTCAGGCTTTAGCAGCAAGTGCCTTTACCTGCTGAGCCATCTCACCAGATCCCAATTTTTTTACATGTTAGGAACAAATGTAAAAATGTCACAGTGCCCTCTGACTGAACAAAAATATTTGCAGGTTGAGTGTGAAGCCCATAAATCTCAGAAATCGCCAGTTTCTCTCTCTAGTAGAACTGTTACTATGCGGCAGGGGCTGTTCTCAGCTCTTCTTTTCTTGTGAGACAGGGTCTCACGTAGCCGAGGCTGGCTGAGAACTCTGTGATCACAGAGTTCTGTGATCACAGAGTTCTGTGATAACAGGTGTGCACCACTGAGCCAGGCTCAGCGTTCAGTGTCCTCCTTCACATGGACACGACAGACCTTTTCGATGGCCAGTGTTAGACATATCCAACAGGCAACCAGGCTTTCCCACGGGAGGGAGGGTGGCCCTGCTGGGTGCTCTCTGAAGTCACTGAGTCCATCTGGACTGGGTGAGGCTTGATGGGGCTAGGATGAGGTGGCCTTCCCTTCGACTGCTTTGAATGTCTGGGAAAATATTGCCTGGGCCACTGAGGACTCAGATCCCAGCTGATTTAGATTCAGGGATATCAGCCCCATATGGAACCTAGCTGCTCTGAGGCCTTGGATCCTTTGATCCTCCAGGTCTGTTTTCTCTGTTTGAAGTTTGGATGTATAGTTTCACTGATCTATGGGCCCCTGGACTCAAGCTTCTGAATGTGTCTTCTTGTCCCAAGCCAGCCCTGGAGCCTCTTAGACTGAGAACAGAGAGCATACACAAGCATTCTAGTTCCTGCAATCCCCAGCCATCTTGCTGGACTTCCCATCAGTCATTGCCCACCTTAGGGTCCAATTCTGTATGGCTCTAAACTTAAGACCTGGTTCTCATTATTGACACTTTTGCCTCCCTAGCAACGTGAACGCCAACAGCACCTCTGAGTATAGAATGGGGTCGCTTGAGAAAATGCAGAACCCCGAGGCTCCCAAAGTTCCTTGGCGCTTAGAGGCAATAGTGACCTGCTGAAGTCCGTGTTGGGCAAGTTCCTATGGTCAAACAGAGAGGGTGACAGGCCCAGATGTCCCCCTCATGGGACCACAAAGACAAGAGGAAAGAAAAAAAAGGAACCATCAAACTGCTGGTCCATTGAGTTCATGAATTCACTCCCATTTTGTGATTCCTCCTTTGGTTCAGGGCTCAGCATGCAGCGATCTCAAGTCTCTGTCCCGTATTCCTCTCCTCCCCAGAATAAGATGCCCACTTAGGCCACACCTACCAGTTCCCGTTCCCCAGATGGACATTCATTGTCAGGAACAGTTTGTCTGAGTCCATTCCGCTCTAGCACGAAAGACGGAGTTGGTTTTGGAGCTTTCTCTGCAGCGGCTCAGAGCCACCACCATCTTGATCTGGGTCTGTGCTCATCTGGCTCTGAGGCAGAAGAGCAGACTACAGCCCTGGCTTTTCTAGAAATGCTCCCTTCCAAAATGGTCTAGTTTCCTTGAACTGGCGTGCAGGGCCCTTGACTAAGGCACTGCTGGACATTACCGGTGCCAGGCCCAGTCTGGCTCACAGTAAATCCTTTTTTTTTTTTTTTTTTTGGTTTTTCGAGACAGGGTTTCTCTGTGTAGCTTTGCGCCTCTCCTGGAACTCACTTGGTAGCCCAGGTCAGCCTCGAACTCACAGAGATCCGCCTGGCTCTGCCTCCCGAGTGCTGGGATTAAAGGCGTGCGCCACCACCGCCCGGCCAGTAAATCCTTTTTATAATGCTAGTGGACACTGGACCTTGTGGCCAACAGGTGCTCCACAATGGTGATGACACTGCTACTCTCAGAAGTATGACAGAGCATCACGTGTGGATGCTCAGTGACTCGTACTATTAATAATGCAAGCTCACATTTATTAACTCTTAATTATACGCCAGGCACTATCTAAAGTGCTTTGGATGTACTCAATTATTCCAAAAGGAAGATAATTCTTCATAATATTACAAAAACAAAGAAAAATAATAACTCTAGTCACATTGTACTTTTCTTTTCCTGTTGCTTTGGTGAAATGGCAATAGCAATGTAGGGAGAAAGGATTTCTCTTAGCTCACAGTTCAAGGTACAGCCCATCATGGCAGGGAAGTCAAAACCGTAGGAGCTTGAAGCAGCTGGTCACACTGAGCCCACAGTCAGGAAACAGAGAAAGATGAGTGAAGTACCAGGCTTGCTTTCTTCTTTTTGTACAGTCCAGGATCCTCTGCCAGGAGAGTGGTCCTGCCTACAGTTACCGCTGACTACGACAAATAATTTGAATGATTGCAAAAGAGGCCAAGGGCTGGCCTATCCACAGTGAAACACAGAAGGTAGTGATAAATCCACAAGATGAATTCTTTCCTCCCAAGGACATGCCACCATGCTGTGAAATTAGGTTAAAAATAGTTCCTTTTAATTTTTTTTTTTTCTAATTTTAGTTCAAGGATTGGACCCAGGGTCTTTTGCTAGAAGAGCACTTTGCCTCTGAGCTACGGGACAAGTTACAGGTGGGCTTTGAACTCATGATCTTCCTGCCTCAGCTTCCCGAGCATCTGGAGTTACTGGCCTACAAAGTCTCCGACTAGCCTGGAACTCACTGTGTAGACCAGGTTGCTACGGAACTCACAGAGATCTACCCGCCTCTTCCTCCCAAGTGCTGAGATTAAAGGGGTACACCACCGTGCTGAGACTTGCCTATTAGTTGTTCATCTAGTAACTAGTCACTTAGAAGTTGTGTTTTCCTTTAAAACAACAGAAGAAGCTGGAGGTCGTGGCGTGTACCCGTAATCACAAAGGCGAGCCTGGGCTATGAGACCCTTTCTTTTAAAACAACAGTGAAAAGAGGTATGCACATTTCTGAGACCAAAATATGTTGAGTCCCTAAAATGCAGACATCTCAGGACTGTGACTCAGTTTTACCTAACTTAGGCCTATGTCAGAAGTAGAGGTGAGGCCAGGAGACCAGAGCTCCCTCTCCCATCCACATGCTCTTCCCAGGCACTGGGAACGGAAGTGGCCAGGGCTTGGGCTGATCTCTGAAGCACTAAGCCACTGCACCTGGTTGCACCTAGCTGTGTAATCACCACAGCAACTCTTTTGTTGTTGTTGTTTTGTTTTTTTGTTTTTGTTTTTCGAGACAGAGTTTCCCTGTGTAGCCCTGGCTGTCCTGGATCTTGCTCTGTAGACCAGGCTGGCCTCCAACTCACAGAGATCCGCCTGCCTCTGCCTCCCGAGTGCTGGGGTTAAAGACGTGTGCCACTACCGCCCGGCTACCACATCGACTCTTTAAGGAAAGCACTGTTGCCATTTTATGGGACAGGACGCTGTGGCACAGAGGGATCAGGTGTAAATAATTTCAGTAAAGTGCCTGGAACTCAGGGGCCTTCAAAGCCTGCTTGGCGTCATCAGAGGGCACTGCATCTGGAATGAGTATGTCATCATGTTTATCTTCATGATTGCATTGTGAAAGGAGCAGGTGCTCTGCAAATGCACACAGTGGATGATTAATGGGTGCAGCACATCATCATAGGCCCCAGTGCATAGTAGGTGCTCAGATGAAGTTTGCCCATTGCCTGGGGATTAGATTATATCATGTAGGGACAGATTCTCTGCCCTTGATCCAAAAGGCTCCCTGAGATGGATGCCCACCAGTCACAGGTCCCTTCCACAGGCCCCAAGCCTAGAGAAATAAACATATTTGAGAAGGTCCCCTGTTCCTTCCAGCCATGCTGAGGCCACAGGAGGTCCCCCAAGAGCACAGTTCAAGCCACACACCTGCAGGGTCCATGTAAACAGGAAGCAAGCGGCATGCTGGCAGCAGAACAGTGCTGTGGCCTGATGTGTGCTATCTCCCTTGTGTCGCGTGGACTGGGTATCACCACAGCTGGGGGGGGGGGGGGGGCGTGTCA